TTTGTTCAGCTTAGGCAGATTCATTCGAGTACTAATTTTTCAAAATCAATAAAAATGTATATAAATGTTTGGCCTTACTTATCCCGCAGAATAATGTGGACCTAGCACTATTCTACCATTCTGCCAATAGATTTACACGCATTTTTTATTGGCTTGGACTTAAAATGGTTAGCAACTTAGATCCTGGCGAATGAAGGTAGTATTTTTCGGATCTCCCGGAACCCCACCTTTAACTGAGATTTCGATTCTTTCTAATGTCATGCAGTAATGAATGAGCGTATCAAATTCTGGACGCATGCCAATTTTCATGAGAATCTGTGGAATATGGTTGTCAAAATGCAGGAAAGACGATCTACTCCCCAGAATTTTGGAGAGAGGGGCTGTTGCCACCGTAAAAAGCACTTTTGGAAACAAATGTCATAGATTAAAAAAGTCTCATTTTGACCCATTGAACACACACCTGCAGTCTAGTGGTTTAGACTTGGATATCGGCCTGCATATGTAGATGAAAGCAAGTTTTAAAAAAAAAAAAAAAAAAAAAAAAAAAAACACCTTTGTAAGAGGCCAGATATGCAAAAAAAGAAGAAAAAAAATTGGACAAACACCCGTTAACCAGACATTGATTGAATGGGCTTTAGGCTATGCCGCCGTGCTAAGGAAAAACGCCGTATAATCATTCGAGAGTTGCCAAATTTCCCTTGATAAAACATGTATTTTTGACAACAGTCATGCATATTTTTCCTTGAAATTTTCAGATATTTTAAATTAGAATGCGTACAAAATTGTCTACGAATTTTGGAAAATAATATTCACAATTTTACCAGAAAATTCGGTTTTTATCGGAGGAAACTTGGCAACGTCTGATGGGTCATGTGGCGTCCTCCCTCAGCACGACAGCATGGGAAAGAGTAGAGTCCCTTTATACTGAGAGTTAAGACAACCCTCCTTCATGGAGTCACAAACGGGAATAACGATTACACTGCAAATTGGAAGTTTTTCGTAATCTTTGATCGACCCATTTTCAAATTCCTTTCTTTGCTCCTTCTCTCATCTCGTTCGTTCCTTGTCAAACCCGCAATTCCTCGGTCCATTCCAGATTATAATTTTTGCAATTGCTGAAAATGTAATCTTTATTCCTGTTCGTGACACTGTGGAAGTCTAAAATACGGGAACCAATCAGAAATGGATTCACCAGGGTGTTTACTAAAACAGACTGACCAAAAATCAGTAGTTTTACAGTACTTTTTAAGTACATTCCCAAGAAATTCAGTACCTCCTCAACAGAAAAATTCAGTACTTTTTCAGTACTTCCAATTACTGACGAAATTTAAAAAATTTGAATTTCGCTCAAATTGAGACAAAAATGACAAAAAATCGGAAAAATTCCGGACCTCCTTGCGGAATTTCCGCACTTTTGCAGTACTTCCGGACCGCCCTTAAAAAATCAGCACTATTTCCGGACTTCCCGGAAATTCCAGACTTGTAGACACCCTGTTCACATTGTCTTAACTCTCAGTATAAAGGGACTCGAGGAAAGCAGAGGCGGATCCAGGAATTTGGCAACACCGGATTTCCTCCACTCAAACCTATGTTAAATAATCGATTCTTGTCAGAGCACTTGGCCCCTCTAAGAATCGATATATTTCCGTAGGTTCAAAGGGAGAAAAGCAACGTTGCCAATTTGCTGAATCCGCAAAAGTAGGAAAGAGGATGCGGAACTTACCATCGTTGGGCGGCTGACTGTCGACCTGGTGGCGGATGTAGTGTGGTCGTGGGGCGGGTGGCGGGTTGTGCGGCGGGTGNGGGGGGTGGGCGGTGTGGGCCGGGCGGAGCGGCGGGGGGTGCGGGGGCGGCTGGCCGCAGGGGTGGTAGCCCTCCGGGTCGCGGTAGTCCCGCCCGTGGCCGTGTCCGTGTCCGTGTCCTCCGTGGCCGTGTCCGTGGCCGTGCCCGTGAGGCGGCGGCGGGTAGACCGGGCTGTAGTCGTACGAGGAAAAGACGTCCGTCCTCACTTGGCTCATGTAATTTGGCTCCCACATCTGAAACACCAACGAGGAAAAAGCCCCGAATTAGAAGCAGACATTTGCCGCCCGTTTTCCTCATCACCGGAGACGCGATTAGGATCCGATGCGATCCGGGCAAGGGCAGCCGGCCGCGTTGCCGCGTAGCCGTGCGGTGGGTGCCCGCGTGGCGCCCGACGCGCTTCGCTTCACCGACATACCGACACCGTGCCTATGGTTAGGCACTTTCACGCTTCACTTTTTCCTCCTCGCCACGGCTAGCTCCGCTCGAGTCGGTGACTATTATCACCGAACCGACGCACGGTGTGGCGATATGGGTAAAAGGTCGGACATGGGCGATTCCGGGATTGTGGAATTCGATGTTCAAATTCACCTAATAATGGCACAAAACAAAAATGCAGTGCAATGGAGATGTTGCATGTGTGAGGAATTTGGGATTTGACTATCGATTCTTCTGTGAAAGTTCGCGAGCAACACGATGGTGCCACTGGTTTTCTCTGAAATCAACTCCCAAGCTCAAAAAAAGCTTTCAAGTTGAGGCCAAAATAGAGGGGATATCCCACGCTATCCTGAGAGTCCACCTCTACATCAAGAAAAACTCTCCATGCAAAGATAGGGAGCAAATACATTAGCAAGGTTGTCGTGTTGTCAGTTGTGGAGCCTCCAAATAAAGTGGCAGCCCTGTCAATGTATTTGCTCCCTATCTTTGCATGGAGAGTTTGTCTTGATGTAGATGGGGACTCTCAGGATAGCGTGGGATACCCCCTCCATTTTGGCCTTAACTTGAGAGCTTTTTTTGAGCTTGGGAGTTGATTTCAGAGAAAACCAGTGGCACCATCGTGTTTCTCGCGAACTTTTACATGAAAACCAGTAGTCAAATCCCAAATTCCTCACACGTGCAACATCTCCATTGGGTTAGTAGTCCTCACCTGATTAAAAAAAAAAAAAAAAAAAAAAAAAAAAAAAAAAAACTGGCCTAGTGACAGATACACTATATTTTAGAGATCCCGCATTGACTAACTAGGGCTTTGTCTCCAACGGGTCAGTTGCGCTGGTCACAGAACAGGAAACCAAGGGTGTCCAAATCCAAAGGAAGTTGCTGTTTGGACAGATCTCATTAATTTTCGCTGATCTACAAGGATCTAGCATCACAACACAATTCTGTGATCAGCGCAACTGACCCGTTGCAGGAATGAAACTTCTGGGCTTTTTCCCTGTTGAACAAAACGACATAATTTCTGCTTCTGCTTCTTCTCCTCTCTGAGTCGCTTTTAGGACTCAACAAGAACTCAGCTTGGTTCTGCGATAAGGCTAACTCAATATTTGTCCTAACTTCGCAAGTGGGACTTTCCCCTGGGACAAAACGCATGCAACGTCCCATGGAGACATAGCCTAGGCATTATGTAATTATAAGAGGCAAAAGTTAAAAGCCGAGGTCAACCCTCACACTACTTTTCACCTAATGGACGTATTTCTGTCAAAGGGAACTGTGTGCATTATACGTGAGCTCTGCTATGTATATATTCTTATGGTAAACCATAATGGACTGGCCCAAGTAGCAAGGATACCTATAAATGGACATAAAATCGTAGGAATGTTGCTATATTATATTTGCCATGCGTATTGCCTACTCCCTCATTTGAAGGCGCGGAAATTATTGCTATATTGTTGCTATGATGTAGCAATAAATTCCGATTATTGGTTGTGTCACCTGTTGCCAATCTGCTAATTGCAAGGCGCAAAAATTATCGCAATAATCTTGCTATAGACAAGGTACGAGTTAAAGGATTCTGATACATGTTTCTTAACCAGAATTTCACGTAGAACACGAATCGCGCAATGAAAATTACTGAAACCTACTCCTAACGAAGTTATTAACGATTTTATTTCATATTGGTTACAAGAAATTAGAACTGCCCGCTCACAAGAAACTCAAAGCTCTACATGAGTCAAATCGCGCACTACAACGGTTTCGGCAATCTTCTCTATCAAGCAGTATTCATTTTCCACCATGTGTTGTTCAAACTATGGGCGATTTGCTATGGTTGAGCCAAAGCGTCAAGATTGCGGTTGCCAGATTTTTATATCGCAGAGACTGTCATGATCACGTTTAGCGCGCGATGTGAATCACGTAGAGCATTGAGTTTTCATGAGCGGGTGGTTTGAATTCACGCATCAAGAATCATTAAATATCTTCGTAAGGAGTTGATTTCGGTAATTTTCGCTGTGCGTATCGTGTTTCACGTGAAATTTCGGTTAAGAAACATGTATCAGAATGCTGAAATTCGTACCTTGTCTAGTGGCCCATTCTTATGGCTAAACCAATCGTCAAACACTCTGGCCATCGATAGGCAAATCTAAGCGTTGACTTCCGGAGGTAACTTTTACACTCTATGAAGAACAACAGCGCGGGGTCTCTAAAATGTAAGTATCTGCGCTAGGGTGGCCGTTAAAAATAACTTTTTCGAATTTTTAATGGGAGAACCCTGCAAAATTTTCCTTTTAGTGTGTAAACAAAGACCAAGAAAAGAAAATCGAAAAAAAAAAAAATTTTAACCGTGCCGCACGGCCGTTGTATGAGGTACGCTTGCAAGTTCGATTTCCGCAAATCGCGCTTTTTGGCGTTTCGAAGCGTCTCCGAAGGCATGATGGAATTCATCTAGACATCTGAAATTATGGTGATTAACTCAACCTTTTGCGTACTTTCATGTGGTGTTAACAGAAATGTTTTAAAATTTTTCAAAGTACGATTTTTTTGCTCTCAAAGTAGGGCGAAAAGACGATATGCGTAAATGGAAATTCGCACATTGCGGTATATCACGTTTTGGCGCGTTGCTTACGCATGATAATTTTCATGCAGGGATCTGATAATATGGAAATTTGAGTCCATTGTAAAAGCTGCAGGTTGCAACGCGTTTGCAGGTGGTCCACAACTAGCTGTGATCTCGCGTGCATAGAACACGTTAAAATATGCTTGAAATCAGATGAAGTGTCTGAGCTGCATTCATATTTTCACATACTTTACTTGTTAGTTGTATGACGACCATCTGTTTAGAGGGTCGACGACCAACTTTCGTATGTTTAATGTCGTGTGAAATTNGGGGGCCCAATGTAAGGACTCATTTTTGTTGTACTCCGAAATGCCCATCACTCGGAAAGACACCTCACACAGTACGTTTTAAACATTTTTAATGCGGTCTACATACCACCCGCAATTTTTTTTGCGTAAATTTCAACTAAAAGACCTACTGATTGAGGAACAACAAACTGCGAAATTTGTAGTTTGGCCGTTTTTGAGAAAATGCGATTTTTCGCTATTTTGGCCGGAATTTCGGGTCAAGGCGCTGAAAAAGTCAAGTTAGGCTGTTTTTGAGGATTGTAAATGCATATCCTATACATTAATAGTCAATCAAGTGTCAGTAGATACGTGCACATTGCCCAAAATTCGTATCCTTAAATTCATGACTTTCGGGTTTTTAGGGGGTTCGTCAAGGAGAAATCCGAAAAAAAGGGAGTTAACTCGGAACAAATTGTTTAACGAAATTTTCTTCTGTAAACGTCGTCAGTAGGTCCTCTTGAACAACATACCAAAAGTTTACCACGGTTCCATCCCGGAACATCCCCCCAAATTGCCTACATTTCAAAATGGCGGCCATAATAAGGCCTCTGGGATTTCGATTTTCTTAAAATCTGCTCACGGTGTCATATGAGGTGTTAATTCCTATGTAATTTTGGTCGCAGATTTCAGATATGAAGTCAAAAAAGTCCCCCGGTCAAAAGGGGTACCCCAAATCCAAGATGGCAGCCAATTTTGAAAGATGAGGGTGAATTTTTAAAAAGCCAAGATATGACTTAACATAATTATTTTCCAGATATCGTGTTTTTGCCCTACTTTGAAGGTAAAAAAATCGCACTTTGAAAAATTCTATGAAAACACCGTCAAAACCACGTGAAAGTACGAAAAAAGTTGAGTCACTAACCATATTATCAGATCTCTGCATGAAAATTATCGTGCGTAAGCAACGCGCCAAAACGTGATATACCGCGATGTGCGAATTTCCATTTTCGCATATCGTCTTTTCGCCTTACTTTGAGAGCAAAAAAATCGTACTTTGAAAAATTTTAAAACATTTCTGTTAACACCACATGAAAGTACGCAAAAGGTTGAGTTAATCACCATAATTTCAGATGTCTAGATGAATTCCATCATGCCTTCGGAGACGCTTCGAAACGCCAAAAAGCGCGATTTGCGGAAATCGAACTTGCAAGCGTACCACATACAACGGCCGTGCGGCACGGTTAACATTTTTTTTTTTTCGATTTTCTTTTCTTGGTCTTTGTTTACACACTAAAAGGAAACTTTTGCAGGGTTCTCCCATTAAAAATTCGAAAAAGTTATTTTTAACGGCCACCCTCTATCTGCCTTGTAAAAACTTACCCCGACATTCATGAGTCATCACTATTGGCTGATGACCATTATAACCGAGACGAAGAAAATCACATTTTACTGGGTGCATTAGCGCGCCTGATGACGATATGACAATTGCACAGGACGGGACAGAGGGGGGAAACACATTAAAACTGACGTTGAAGAATGGATTAAACTTGGAACAGTTTTATTTAAAGGGTATTTGCGTAAACCAGAAAAAAACCTTTCGGTTTTTGCGTGTTTTTTGTCTCTCTCTTTTTTCCCCCGCGAAATTCGGCAAGAGAGAGGTTTTGTAAAAGCCGCAGTCCAACTTCGACACACGCGATGACGCTCATTTGGATGCCATTTTCCCCGTTAAATCTATCCGATACATCTCGATCAGTCCGATGAAACCCCGTGGCGTGCTTTGCGATATATCGATTGATCTGCCATTTAAACCTATGGAAAAAGCTCGATACACAGGGTGTTCGCAACGGACACCTTAATGTTCGATTCTTTACCATAGCTTCAAATTGGGCAAAATCGATAATCGATCATGCACGCCATGCCACTAGAAACCTCGTAGGGGTACGCGGTAAAACCAAATATT